GTTTCGCTTGGCCGAAAGTGGTGAATTGCCGAATTTTGTTTTCTCCGATGAGAAAACATTCGTTTTCCAGCAGTTTGTAAACAAACAAAATTATCGTTTTTACTTGCCAAAGAGTTCAGCTGAAAAAATGCACCTTCGGTTGGCCACCAGAACTCAAGCAACGGTCATGGTGCTGGTGTGGGCCGCCATAACCGCCGATGGTCGCTCTCCGATCGTATCAGAATAAATGCCGAATATTATCGCGAAAATATTCTGGAGGGTGTATTAAAGCCTTGGGCATGCAAACATTTTAGTCGCAAGCCTTGGACATTCCAACAGGGCTCAACACCATCACACTCAGCACGTGCCACCCAAGAATGGTTACAAATATAGGTTCCTCGCTTCATTTCCAGCGCATAATGGTCACCAAAATCTCCGGATACCAATCCGTTGTACTATTGTGTCTGGAGTATTTTGGAAAGCAAGGTTGGCACTAAAAAATACCTTGTGAGTACTTTACGCCCTGAAAGAGAATTTTTGTTATAGGTCCACAATATCGTTTATCCCCCGTATAACGGCACCTTCCGATATTCGGTATTTTTATGATTTAAATCCACACAAGGAGTTCTTTGTGACTACTTTATCCCCTGGAAGAGTATTATCTATAAGATCTACGATATCGTATAGCCCCTATTTAACGGTACCCTCCGATGTTCTGTATTTTGATGATTTTAGCCACATTTTTTTTAACGGTATTGTATGCAAATTCACACAAGGAGTTCCGTGTGAGTACTTTATCCCCTAGAAGAGAATTGTTAATATAGATCCACGATATATATGTATATCCCCCATATAACGGTACCCCCCAATAGTCGGTATTTTTTTTATTTTAGCCAAAATGTTCAATGGAATTGTCTGAAATTCTACAAAAGAAGTTCTTTGTAAGTACTTTTCCCCCTGAAATAGAATTGTTAATATAGGTCCACAATATCGTATATCCCCCATGTAGCGGCACCTTCCAATATTCGGTATTTTAATAGAATTGTTAATGGATTTTATTTTTTTTTTTTTTTTTTTGAAAATTTCCTTATTTGTTGCATATGGCGGATGGTATTCAAAGTTCAGCCCGGCCGAACCTACAACTTTTTTACTTTTTGAACTATTAATCAGCTATTCTATTCCAGCAATATTCTGAATTCGTATAACTTCCAACTATGTGGCATTCCCAGTCCTACAAATGATAGATAATTTTCAAATTATTCATTTGTTTATTTATTTTGAATGACTCGAAAACGTTGGCCGTAAAATGATGTTCTAAATCAAATTCAATGGCTATCCTCCCCTAGTAAACCAGGTAAAGTGTTTATTTTAGACTAAGACAACAAACGAAAATAGAGAAAGAGAGAATACTTAAGCCAGGTAGAAATGATGATGAACCTGGTTAGATAGATCGATCACCTTATCGCTTCGTGAACTAAAAGTGCGTGTAATGATTTTAATCACTTGAGATACCAAGAACAACAACAACAACAGCGAAAATAGAACCTCTTTAATATGTAAAGCATGTACACAATTTGTAGGAAGACGGTGAAGGGGAAATGGAAAAGGGAACCTCTTAAAAATAACTAGGAAAAATACAGGAAAATTACAACATTGGTGGCTCAATCAGGGCTGGGAAATCTTCACTTGACACACAGGAAATAGATTTTTTACGAGTTTAAAACGTTTTCTGGGGTCAGGGGAAATGTGAAAGAAGTAGAAACCCTCTCAATCACTTAATTTCAAGTGTTTTTTGAATGTCTAAAAATAAGAGTTTAACAAAATATGCCCTGGTTTCTAAAGAAAATCAGCTAAAAATTAAAAAGAAATTTTTAAAACCTAAGGCAATTTTTTCGGTTTTTGTTTTGGCTGAATTAGAGCTCTGCTGCTGCAGAGAAGTATGTGTGTGTTGGAACATTTTGTGGCTTAATCTCATAATCAAATTTCAAAAAAAGTTTAAATTTCAATACATGACGGACACACCTCAATTGAGATTAGATGTTGGTCACAGAAATGAACAAAACCGAAAAAAATACTACACCACCACCTTAAGAGTACTCCTTTTGTGTGACTCTGTTTGTGTGTGTGTGTCGGTGAGTTTGTAGTTCCATTGTTTTGTATTTTTTTTCTACTACTTTGGGTACAATACTTAGTTTAATCTTCAAATATCAATCTTCCACCACAAAAAATGTAATTTTTCATCAAAAACCCCAGCAAAGAACTCACAATCGTGTCGTTCTGCTCCAGAGTTGGAGTAGGGAATTAGGCATCGAAGACAAAAAAGGAAAGAAAAAAAAACGTAGCTCTAAATAAATAAATGTCTCGTAGTTCATCATCGTCACAACAATTAAAGGTTTCGTCAGTACGGAGATTAACAACAACATCGGTGTAGAATATTTTTTTTTTGATTTTTTTTTCAATTCGGAACAAATGCATTTTTTGATAGAATTCACTTTGATGACTGGTTTAAGGCTTATTGCAACATATGTTCTTATACACACCCACATACACATATACATACATAGTGACTTTCTTCAAATTTACATTATCCATTATGCACTCGGTGCCGCCGTGCCTTGTACCTTTTATAGGAACATCTCATTATTTTTTAGCTTTTCGGTAATGCAGAGGATATATAGTTGTCATTACTAGTAGCGTCAAAAGCGACGTATATGTAAATCTAATTTTCAGATCCAAAATTTTTGAAAATCAATTTTTTCATGAATACCTCAAAAATATTCTCATATTCATAGCCGAGAAGTCCTAAGATTTTATGATTGACTAAAATTATCTGACTTAACGATTCATCAACGCCCAGGCGAAACGGCTGAAGTTAGAATCTTGAAATTTAGGTCCGAACGGGTCAGATAAGGCTGGGTTTTTGGAAATTCGTACTAGAGCGGTACGAAAAATATTAAAAGGTACGAAATATGGTACGCTTTGTATTTGAGGAAGCAGTAGAGCTAGAAGCTTTAAGTTTGGAACAAGGGACACTGATGGAGTATATGATAGATGTACCAAAGAGTTTATGGAAATTCGCATTATAAGTGCACGAAAAGTACTAAACTGTACAACATACAGGGTGAGATAAAAAAAAAACTGCAACAAAGTCCAACACCATAATTTTTGCATGTTTTTAATTTTATTGAATAAAAGCAAAAAATGTCGGAAATAGCATCAAATTTTAAATAAGGTTTGATCGAATTGGTCACCTTTGGCAGAATTATGGCCTTCAAATGGCCAATGATACCGTCACACGCTGCCCGAATATTGCTCTGCGGTATTTTGACCCATACACGGCAAAGCGTTTGCTTGAGGTGATCGACACTTTGGTATATTTTAGTGCCAACCTTGCTTTCCAAAATACTCCAGACACACAAGTTCAACGGATTGATATCCGGAGATTTTGGTGGCGAGGAACCTCATTTTTTAACCATTCTTAGGTGGCGCCTGCTGAGTGCGAGTCCTGTTGGAATGTCCAAGGTCTGCGGCTAAAATGTTTGCTTGCCCAAGGTTTTAATACACCCTCCAGAATATTTTCGCGATAATATTCGGCATTATTCGAATAATACGAGCGGAGAACGTCCATCGGCTGTTATGGCGGCCCACACCGTCACCATGGCCGGCGCTTGAATTCTGGTGGCCAATCGAAGGTGCATATTTTCAGCTGACCTATTTGGCAAGTAAACACTATCATTTTGTTTGTTTACAAACTGCTGGATAACGAATGTTTTCTCATAGGAGAAAACCAAATTCGGCAGTTCACCACTTTCGGCCAAGCGAAACAACTCTTTAGTTTTAACTCTTTTGAGTCTATTTTCTTTCCGTTGCGGTGTAAGTTCTTGCACTTTTTGGAATTTCAATGGCTGTACCCGGGCTTATTTTTCAGGACTTGTCGAATGGAATATTGCGATATGTTCAGCTCACGAGCCATTTTTCGGCAACTGCGACGCGGGCTTCGATCAAGTCGCTTCTTTACTTTTCGAACCATTTCTGCTGATGTTGGTGTTTCCTTCCGTCCTCTTCCTTGACGTCGGGCTACGCTACCAAGGATCACGGTAACGAAAGATGGTACGAGACACAAAAGATTTATTCACATTTAAATGCTGGAGTGCTCTAACGATAACCACTTGTGGTTTTCCAGCCAAATATAAAGAAAGCACACTATCACGCTTGAATTCCATCACGAATAACTTTTTTTGGGAAAATTGTCACTAATAATTTTAACAGCTGTCGGACGAGTGGCTTAGAAATGATAGCAGTCTGAAGTTGATTGCAGGTTTTTCATTGTTTTATTTCAAAATTTCACCTCAATCGGATAATAAATGCGATATGCATTTTGTTCACAAGAATACATGGCGGACGGACGAACTTACTGAAAGTTATTCTATGAAGATTCTTAAAAGTACCTATGGGTTTATCTCGCTTTCTTCTCCATGTTACAAACAAATGCACAAAGACATAATACCCTTAACATTATGTGGTGTAGGGTATAAAATTATCTTTATTGTCAAGTAGCGCCCAACGTTGGGAAACAATCTGAATTTCTAAATATCGAATTATTCCCAACTTACCTGAAAGAGGAAAAGTATAAATCAAATAATTCCCTTTGCCATGGCGCCCGACGTAGGGAAATTGACTAAACTTTCTGAATATTGCAAGGGAATGCTCGCAAGAATAAGGAGTTCACAACGAAAATGTCGTTTGGCGTCCAATGGAGCCCAACTTGGGGAAAATGCCCTAAATTTCAAAATATCTCAATATGAAATCTAATTATCCTGATTTGATTATATCACACATATTATTTCTTATTTGCTAGCAATTAGGGAAGAATCGCTCAGCTTAGTCTTCGAATGGCGCCCAACGTGTTATTAAATATCGCAAGGGAAAATCTCATTTAGTGCACGAATATGGTTATATTACAAATATTATTCCGAATATGCCTGAAGAAAGCAAAAACTTACGGTACGAAGAGTACTACACTGAGGGAAAAATCCCGTTGCGAAATCAAGCACGTATGTTGTCATTTTCGCAACGACCCGTTGTTATATTTTTCAACAACGGCTGTTGGTGAATTGTGCACGAACGTGCTCAAATTGACACCGAGACGTGGTCAACTTTCGGTACCAACAACAGCCGTGCTTAATTTGTCCATTTGTAATATTGGTAATTGCAGCCGATTACACACGAGTAAAAAATGACAACGGTGGTGCATGATTCACACACGGTCGTTGTCAATATGACACCGGTCGTGTATGAATTATGCACCACCACCTGCATAATGATGCACCACCGTTGTTACTTTGTACACCGACGTGCATGAATCGTACACGATCGTTGCCATTTTAGCAACTACCGTGTATGAATCATGCACCACCGTTGTCATTTTTTTTACTCGTGTGCAATCGGCTGCATATTTACCATTTTTTCCGTGTTATTGAAAGAGAAAGGACGCATTGTGCAAAAAATTTATTGAAAATGAATAATAATTCGCAAGATCCTCAAAATATCATTGGTGAGTTGTTAGAAATCGATGGCAATATTGTTGTGGTTCGCGATACAAACCATTGCAGTAGTCAAGATGCGGAAAACAATGAGGACGATTATATGTTAAGGGAGTTCTTAAAAGGAATAAATATGGAGTCGCTTTTTGAACAATTAAAAGGTAAGTAAATAAAAATGAATTTTTCAGTTAATCAGTGTAATTAACAAAGAATTTTCTTTTTTGTTCTTTTAGCATCACATGTAACATTTCGCAGCTTGCAGTACTTGAAAAAAGAAGATTTAAAGGAAGCAGTGCCACCATTGGGACTGCGTGTTGAATTCAGAGAAAAGCTCTTTGCTTGGAAAAAACGAAAGGTACGTATTATTTGTTTTACAGAGTTGAACTCAGTATTAATATTGTCATAACAATAGCTCGGGATTGATGACGAAACTATGTCAGTTCCATCTAAAATAGGTGAATGGTGGAAACGCAACGAGACACCTGCAAGTACTCCTGGTACTCCCGACACTACAGGTTCGAACTGCTCAAAAGCCAAAGGAATTTTGTCAGAGGTAAGGTAAGAGTAATATTTGTGTAAGCATAGTTAATGTAGTTTTTTTATTTAATATAGGATCTAACGGAATTGTTAACACATACCTCGAAGGGGAAACTAGCGCTTGAATGTAGTAGCGTTAATAAGAAATTAAGTGACGAGCAAAGAGATGATATAATTAATATAATTATTGAAGATATTTTAACCAACAATGTTACTCTTTACACTCAAGACTATATGCGCATATTGGATGAAATTTGTTCCGTTTTTCCTCTTGAAAACGAAATGAGGGTAAGATTAACAATATAAACAACGTATCTGATTATGTAGTTTCTTAACTTATAATATGTCTTTATTTTTAGGATTATTATTACATTTCAAGAAAAGGAAAGAACAACGCAAGCGGAAAACTTTATGCCAAGTATAGAAACAAGAAGTCCAAAAGAATAAAGCTTTTGATTTCCGAGCCTAGCACAAGCAAAGCAGCAACTCACACATCTCCTAATTTTTGTAACAAAGATGTTCCCGAAATTGATGAATCAGTTGAAAATTCATTGAAAGCTTCCTTACTAAGAGAATGTAATGATTGGGGATCGATCTGCGAAAAATGGAAAAGATCTTTTAACATACGGCAAAGAGATATAAAAAATTTAAGTAGCCATACATTTCTCCTTGAATGGACGAAGTTGTCCGATGCAAGAGCTTCAGAATTGGTAAGTAGCCATGAGCTATTTATTTGTATATGGATACTAATGTTTCGTTTTAGGTCAACATTGATTTCGATATTATGTATCCACAGAAAGGCAATCTTCTACTTTCTAAATGGGACCAATTTAAGAAAAAAATTTACAATTATTATGGGAAAAATATTCATAACGAACATTGCAAACAACTCTTCGCAAATGTTTTGACGGCAAGCAGCATAGGTAAATTTTAATTCCTGATTTATCATAAACATTAAAAGTAATATTTATTTTATATTTCGGTTGCAGATGCTCAAGATTATATATACGCAATACTGTTGAATTCAGTTTTACCATCACCTGCTAGGTTTAAATGTGGAAACGGTAAATTACGAAAAAAAGTAACAATAGCTGATTCGCAGGAAAGTTTCGTACTGCGACTACCGACAATTAACGATTATAAAAGGCAAATTGATACAGTCACTGAAAAGTATTACAATGCTGGATTAACTATACAGCCATTTATAATTGTGGAGGGTTTGTCCGATTTCAATATAAAAGGTTTTTATGTTTTTTTTAACCACAATTTGTTAAAATTTCAATCGTTCCTCGAATGTTTAGATACATGTTTTAAAATTTTTCATGCACTTTCTTTAAAATATCCAAATGCCTGCCAAATTCCATGGATTTTTATCCAAAAATATTTTTATGAAATTAATACTGTATATGATATAAAATCAGTTAATTTGACTTCACTTATTAATTTCTGCAACAATAATTAAAGTACAATTCAAAATGTATATTTGCTTTCGTTGCCGTAAGCATTTTGATAAGGCAAATCTTTTAATAGCTCATTTGAAAACAGACCATTTAATGTCCACTAAATTTTTAAAAGTACAATGCGTTCAGGACAACTGTAAGCAAACATTTACAAAATTTACGTCATTCAGAATTCATTTAGAAAAACTTCACAAGAATCACACAAAAGCTCCACCAATGGTTAAAGCCATTAATGTGCCAGTTGAAATGTCATCATCAAAAGAAAATGATTATACAAACAGTGAAACTGTTATTAACAACAATACAATAGAAAAGGATTTAAATGTTTTGAAAAAGAAAACCTTATATCTGTCTTTACAATTACATGGTCAAAGCTATATGCCTAGAAATCATGTTATAGAAATACAACATTCTGTTTCAATTCTGCTTTCATCCATTTCATGTACAATTGAAAAATATATAACTGATCATCCAAATTATGAAGACTTAAGGTACTTACTAAACTTTTGTAAAAATCCTTTCGAAGAAACTAGAACGGAATATAGACTTTTAAAAATTTTAAAAGAACTAAACTTTTATGATGATCCAAAGGTTTATGTAATTAGCAATCAAGTCTCGGAAATTGTTATCAGCGGAAATCCCAGTTTAGGTCCAAAGTTATCCAATATTTATATAATGCCACTGAAATTCATGATAAGTGCCCTTTTTAAAATTCCAAATCTCTTAGATTTGACATTAGAAAACTCCAAAAAATTCCTAAATTCACCTGTTTTACAAAATTTTACAAACGGTGAGTTATATAAAACTAAATTATTAAAATATCAGTACAATTTAGTTATTCCCTATGTCCTTTACATGGATGATTTTCAAATTAATAATCCTCTTGGAACCCATACATTTTCCATATGTGGTTGTTATATTAGCTTTCCTTCAATGCCACAGCACTTGTTGTCAAAACTTGATTATATATTAACTGCTGCGTTTATACCATCAAAGGATTTAAAAGAACGTGGAAATGAAGTTTCATTTCACAATCTTGTAGAAGAGTTAAAAATTCTAGAAGAAGGGGTTGAAATTTGTGTTCAACAAAGTGTTCAGAAGGTGCATTTTATTTTAGGTGTAATTATTGGAGATAATTTAGCAGTTAATAGTATTTTAGGCTACGTGCAATCATTTAACTCTAAAAGATTTTGCCGGGTATGTAGAAGAAAAAAGTCCCAAATGCAATTCGACGCAATTCAGCATTTAGATAGTTTAAGAAACCAAGAGAATTACAACTCAAATGTATTGGAAAATAATTTTCAAGAAACAGGTATTAAAAACAAGTGTATCTTCGAATCTTTACCAAATTTTAACGTCACTGAAAATTTTTGTTTTGATATTATGCATGACATTTTCGAGGGCATATGTGTCTACGATATGTCTAATGTAATTCTCGGGCTGATTCAAGAAAATATTGTTACGTTAGATTGTATTAACAGCAGAAAATCTTTATTCCAATTTGGAGAAATTGAAGTGGGAAATAAATCTGGACCACTAGATTTATGTAGATTGAAAAACTATAACTTAAAAATGACAGCTAGTGAAACTATGTGTTTTACTAATTTTTTACCTTTAATGGTAGGCGATTTAATTCCTTTCTCCAACGATCACTGGAAAGTTTTTATAATATTATTACAAATAATCGATTTACTTTTAAGACCAAGTTATATAGAAGACGATTTAATAAAATTGGAAGAATTAATTAGAGATCACCATTCACTTTATATAACATTATACGGTTCGTTAAAACCGAAACACCACTTTCTTGTCCACTATCCCACAGCTATCCGAAAATGTGGTCCCCTTAAATATCTCTGGAGCATGAGATTCGAAGCTAAACACAAGGAAGCAAAAGCCTATTTAGGAAATACTACATCAAGAGTAAATCCCTGTCGTTCATTATCTATTAAGTCTGGATTGAAATTTTCCAATTTTTTATTAAAACACGAAGATAACTTAGAACCAAATGTTATCATTAATACGCATACCATCGAAGATTTGGCAAAAGAGGAATATTGTTACAAAAAAAGTAAGCCAGTTTTAAATTACCAAAATTGCAAAGTGTCTGATGACATTTTTTTTAAGGGAACTAGGTATAAAAAAAACTATTATTTAGCAACAAATAATGCCGCAATTGAACTTTTCAAAATTAAACATTTAATAATTGAAAATGAAAATGTTTACATTTTATGTAACCAAGTAAAAGTTAAAAACTTTGATTACCATTTACAATCGTATGAAGTTGGTTCTCTGAATGAGGATACAATTTTTTTAATACCAATTTTAGATTTTATTACTTACCCATTTCACTTATATCCTATGAATAATGGAAAAGTTTATTTCAGATTTAAGTTAATTTAATTTGTTTCTATACATTGAATATATGTAATTCGAATTGTTTTGTTAAATCAAATATGTATTTATATTGAATTTATGTAATTGGTTTCGTTCAATAAAATACTTTTCAAAAAATGTCGTTTCTTCTACTAAGGGTATAAAATGGAAAAGGAACGGATATCAAAAAATGACCACCATTGATTTCAATCTGACAACGGGCGTTGACAATCCGACAACGGAGCGTTGACAATCTGACAACGAAGCGTTGACGATCTGACAACGAAGCGTTGACAATCTGACAACGGGGCGTGCTCGAAATGACCACGTATGTGCTCATTTCATGCACATCTGTTGTTGAAATCGTTGCCAAAATCTCGGTGTCAAAATGACAACAGCGTGCTCATTTTGACACCAAACGTGGTTGATACACTATCATACACGGATGTGGTCATTTCATACACGGATGTTGTCATTTTTTCTCTGGGTTTAATTTTGGATCACGGTAGGTGTTACTAAATTTAGTATTGAGTGAATGGAGAGAGCTCAAATTCTGAAGGTTATGGAGACTTTAGAACAGCTTTGGACAGAAAAATTGTATGTGGGTCCATTGTACAATGGTCTAATTAATATCCTCCTTATTAAACTTAGAAATGAAAGATTTTAAAGTTTTTTTTGGTAAAGTAAACTTTTTTATACCCTCCACCATAGTATAGAGGGTATATTAGGTTTGTCATTCCAAATGACAATCTCAAGATATAACATCTCAAGATATACATTTTAGACCCCACAAAGTATGTATATTCTTGATCAGCATACAATTCTATGTCGATTTAGCAATGTCCGTCCGTCTGTCCGTCTGCGGAAATCACTTTAGCTTCCGAACACATATGAAGTAGGTTGATAAAATTTTACTCAAATGTGTATTATTTCTGCAGGATTTTTGGTATTGAAAATGGGCCATGTAGGTCCACGTGTTCGTATAGCCCCCATATAACGGTTCCTCCCGATATTCGGTATTTTTATGATTTTTGAGACATTATTTTCCGGAACTATTTCAAATTTAGTATTTGAAATTTGTAATGAATACTACAGCCTATGACAGAAAATTTTCTCTGCATGTCCACGTCTTCGTATAGCCCCCATATAACGGTACACCCCGATATTCTGTATTTAAATGATTTTAGCGACATTATTTACTGGAATTGTTTCAAAGTTCGCATTTGAAGTTCGTAATGGATACTACAGCATGTGAGAGAAAATTGTCTGACGTTTTATAACCCCCAATGGTACCTCTCGATATTCGGTATTTTTATGATTTTAGCTACATTATAAACAGATTTTTTTTCAAGTTTCGCATTTGAATATTGTAATAGCTTGTGACAAAACTCGCCTATGCAGGTCCACGTCATTGTATAGACCTCAACAGAATTTTTAACGGATTTTATTTTTTGAAAATTGCCAAATTTGTACCAAATGGTGGAGGGTATTCAAAGTTCGGCCCGGCCGAACTTACAGCTTTTTTACTTGTTTCTATTATTCTTCCGAAAAAAGCAAAAAACTTGAACAAAATATAAAACATTGAAAGTCTGAAAATTTAATACGTTGTATAAAGTTCTTATTGAAAAATGTTGTCAGACTGAACAAATTGCAGATTTTCAGTACCTAAAAAGGCCTAACACAACTTTTGGAATTAATCCAAAATTTTAAGGTGGACTTTTCACTGGTGAAATAGTAGAAACCTGCTAGTATCTTCATATAATTCGAAACCGATTCCATAAAAAAAAATAAGTAAAGGAGACTCTTTAGCAGATTCCCATATACAAATTGAACATGAATTATTTGTCAACTATTATCATATCCACGAAATGTTCTCCTGTTTGATGGATTCCATACAAATTTTATCACTCAAAAATTAAGTACATTTCTGTTTGATCCCCCTCAAACCAGTCCTAGTTGTTCGAATCTTTGTTGCTAATGTTGTTGGATGGATGACCGTGTCGTTGCTTTGACGAATGTTCTTAGAGGAGAGGTGGTGGTTGAATGTCGCATTGTTTTGGGATTTTCCATTGTTTATTCAATGATGTCGACCGAATGGCAGTGGCTCTCGTTCTACACCGGTGCAACGATGATGATGACGATGATGATTTTCTTTTCTTTCCTTTTCTGTTGTTGTTGTTGTTTGTCTTTGATTTTTGAATATTCTACCGGCCATTGTTTTTTAAGACTTTTCACGAGCATTTTCCACTGTTGCTGATAGCATTAATGCACCACCATACATACCCTACATACCTAAGCATTTAAGTACGAAATGCTCACAGGTATGTATGTATGAATAGATGGATAGATGTATGTGTGTGCGTTCGTGTGTGTCTCAACTAAGGGGTTTTTCGTCAAAATGATTGATTTGTAGGTGATGAATTACAACAACACCGAGGATTTTGAAAATGTTTTTTTTTGGTGACCGTTGTTGTTGCTCGCTGTGTTTGCCGTTTTTGGTAACTGGTGCTAACAAAAGATATGTCAGTCAGTCAAATGACGAAAGAGAGAGAGAGACAGACAGAGAATAGAGAAAAATGTTAGGTGAGATTTTAATGTTCTTGAGCCATTTGGAGTTGCTTTGTTTAGAAGAAAATAAATCGAGAACTAAAAGA